TGATTTCAACTCTTCTCTCCCTTTTTCCAACTGATTTCTAACTGAAAATAGCTCCAAATTCTGTCCCTCTTGATTGTGAATGATCCCAGCAATTTATACTTTGGATATGGATGGATTTTGAGCCCAATTGCAGCCTGAATAAGCCCAATTGAAATCCAATTTTCCTTGTGTTATAAACTTCACGAAGCATGCAAAACAAAGTTGGGGAAGCCTCAAGCTTGCTTCAGATAGCTTGCACATGAAATAAGTGATCCAATGGTGCAGAATTAGCCCTTGTTTGGATCTTAATGGAGTAGATTGCATATGTAACTTCATGGTGAAGTTTCATGGAAAAAGCTTATGGAAAAAGGCTCAATTTGAAACTCTAAAAGTGCCATTGTGTTTAGAATGTATTTTGCACTCAAAATATGCACAAACTTGAATGGAATTGGTTCCATATGAATTAATTTGATTTTTGTACTTTTAATGCCCTTTTCAGGGAAATTTCTTCACTAACTCTTCAATCCAAGCCAATTCCATGATGCCTTGATGTTTGGTTGAGCAAATGACCGAATTTGGAGCAAGTTTCAAGTTGGAAAGATTTCCATTTGAGTTGTGCCAAGTGGTGAAATTGACCTATAATGAAAAGTGGCCTATAATCTTAGTTTCCCAAAATACCCCTGCCTTGCAAGCTTTATATCTTGAGCTTTACAAATCAGCTTAAGGACTTCTAGTACTTTTTAGAAAGCTAAGATCATAAGGAATAACTTTCATGTTTGGGGTCAAGATGAGGAGGGACATCCTTCTAGGTCAAAAATGTCTTGGAAGTTGGTTGACTTTCATGGACCAAAATCACATTCATCTGATGACCTGTAACTCGTCTGCTTCATATCTTGAGTTCTAGGAATCCAATGGAAGACTTTTATTACTCAAAGGAAAGCTAAGAACATGATCTAAAATCCTCATGTTGGAGTCAAGATGAGATGAAACTTGTATCTTGAGTTATGTGGTCTTGAAGTTGGGCACTAAATAGGGGATTTTACACTGTCAAGCTTAGAAACCCTAGCCTAGCAACTTCTAACACTCTTGATTATTGATGAATTAATCTTGGAATAATCTCTTAAGTGTCTCAACACAACATTCCATGATCACACAGACTTGGAATTGAGTCTTAATCTTCTTTAAATTCACAATTGACTTAGGGTTGACCAGATGAAAACCCTAACTGCACCACCTTTAACTGTAGCTTCTTGCACTTGATATGATGACATGAATAAGCTCCATAATGATCCTCAGGACATCCAATGAGCTTATAGAATGTTCTTCTTTCATAACCATTGACTCAATACCATCTGATGATCCTCATTTGATCCCCAAGATAGGAGGTGAACCATATTCGTCCATCTGCTTTTTTCACAAAGCTCTGACCTTCTTCTGATGATGATAAACTCCTGATAGCTTGGATAAGATCTCTTGACTAGGCTTGGCACCTTTGACAATCTCCTCTTTCTAGGCACACCTCTCTCAATCCCCTGTATATGAACAATGATATGCAAATGCAAATGCTATATGAAATGCAATGAAACATAGACCAAGTTAGAAAAAGGTTGGGCAAATTTTGGGATGCAACAATGAGGTAGTCATAACTAAAAACAACACCTAACCTGCAAATAAGATGTTTAGAGTCATCCTCCTGAAGAATGCAACCTCTCAAGAAGCTTTTCAACTATTCTCCTTATCGAATAATCTCAAATTTGATCTCTAACAATTTTTCGATGACACTATCATTCTAGGTCAATTTTACTGGGAAAATATATGGATGCTCAAAGTGATTTTATGTGGCTTTGAAATTATTTCAGGTTTAAAAATAAACTTCCACCAAAGTAGGATTTTGGGATTCAACATTGATCCGGTTTTTGCGGAGGTTGCTTCCGACTTTCTATCCTATTCTATTACATATTTGCCTATCAATTTTTAGGAGTCCCTTTAGGTGTCAATCCTAGAAGGCGCAAATCTTGGGCTCTGATTATCGACAAAGTGAGCAAGTTCATTTCTCATAGAGGTCGAGTAGTGCTTTTAAATGCAATTCTTAACTCAATTACACTTTATTTATTCTCTTTTTACAGAACACCAAAGGTGGTGATTAGCGAGATAAAAATAACATTCAAAAGAGCTTTTCTTTGGAAGGGTGTTGAAAGTAAGAGACATATCAATTGTGTTTCTTGGTCTTTAGTGTGTAAATCTAAATCCAGTTGTAGATTGGGAATAAAGCCTTGTGGAACTTTTAATGTAGCTCTACTCAGCAAGTAAATTTGGAAAATTGTGGATAAACAGGACTTCCCTTGAGCTGATATTCTATCATTCAAGTATGGAGATATTAAACCTTAGCTGCTCGATAATTCTATTCTAGTCTCCAAGCATTATTCATTATGGTGGCGCAATATCAGAAATATTGTGGCAGAATCGGGTTCTAGTTTTGGTTGGTTTTCAAAATAGTATTTCCCATAGGCTTGGTGCAGGTTCGGACATCGATTGTTGGAGTTCAAGATGGATTGGTCACTAACCTTTCAAAGAATTATTTCCAGCTTTATTTGATCTATGATGTGATCAAAGAATGGTTGCTTTTGATGCAAGATTCAGGTCTGATGACTGCTGGATCTGGAACTTGAAGATTCACTCGTAAAATTCTTCTACATAATCTGATGCACAGTAGGAAGAACTTATCTCAATTATGTCTCCCATCTCGCTTAATCTACATGACAAATACTCATTTATCTAGTGGAGAGATGATGATGGTTTTTTTAGCAAAATTGGCTTATATAACGTTGGTTGATTTTTAGGAATCAGACGTTACAATTGATGTGACTCAGTCAGCGGCTTTAGTGCTAATTTGTAGATGTTGTGTCCCAAGTAACATCAAGTTCTTTTTCTGGTGGCTGATTGTGCGAAGACTTCTTACTTGAGACAAATTGGCTAGCAGAGGTATTATCTTTGGTTTGCATAATCTCATTTGTTTGCTTTGTCTTGGCCCACCAGAAGATCTCTATCACCTTTTCTTTTTTGCCCAGTTGCTTCTCAAGTTTGGGATATCATGCAAAACTGGATAGGTATTTCTATTATGTCTCTTCATCAAAATCCTTTGGCTCGCATGTTTGAATTCTTTAAGCGCTTGACTAGTTATTTAAAGAAAAACTTTTGTCTTCTAATTTAATTGTCGGTTGCTTGGTCTTTATGGTTGACGAGAATTGATATTCTCTTTAAAGAGGACCATCAAATTGTATCTGATATTTTTTATTTTAACTAAGAAGCTAGTTTGAAAATGGATAAGAGTCAAGATATCGAGGCCTTTAGAATTTGAGTTGGAGGATTGGGTTAGAAATCCCATTCTCTACTTTCCTTAATCTATCTTATTTCTTTAGTGAGCCCTTTCTTTATTTGTATAGGATTGAGTATCATACTCAATCTCAATACAATTTTACTTATAAATAAAAAAAAAAACCACTAAATAGCAACAAAGTTACTTAAAAAATATCTTTACAATTAATTAAAGATAAGAAAGAAAGCGTCCCTACTACTCAATTGATTTCTTTCTCTTGAAAATTCTATGAAATAACTCAATTGGTTTCTTTCTTGAAAACTCTATGGAATGATTCATTCTGCATGATTGATTGATTTTGAATTGAAAGAAAAAAAATCTCATATTTATTATATATAAATACTATAAGACTATTTTTACCTATATTTTATATTTTTCATTATTTATGAATATCAATTAGTTTAATAATTTCTAAATTCTAAATTTTTATTATTGTCGATAGAATAATTTTTTATATTCATACTTATAAAATATATATACACATACATGTAAAGAAATTTGTTTATTTTCTATTTGTCAAATTTCAATCGATGAAGTATTTCCTCATGTACAAAATATCCTCTAATCTTTATTTTTTTCCTGAAATAGCTTGTTTCATGCCTTCTAGAATATTCCAATTGATTTTTCTCCCTCATAAAAATATTACAACATCTTTTATAGAAAAAAAAATCATATTTTGTATTCTAATTAATTCTTTTACATAAACATTTTTCTAAAACAAATTTCATACTAATATTTAATGACTTGTTAATATTATCTATTAAGATATCGAGAAAAATATAAGATAAATTGTTAACCGTGTGTTTGAGGATATCCATAGTCTTTTCTAGGAACGACTATCCTTAGTTAAGGCGTTCCCATCCATCAGTCGGTGTCACAATGAAAACAAGCCACGGCTCTTTCCTTACGCCACATTAAATTCAGCTCAAACTCATCCAAGTAAAGTAAGCAACCCATCAATTCAAAAGGTCACCAGTATGAACAAACCATATATACATTTATGGACTCTTACATATCCTATCTAATCTTCCATCAAAACTACCCACATATTCGTATTCTCATATTCACACCCACAAACCAATCCCTTCCTTCACACCCACATATAGAATCCAAAAAGTCCATCTGGATGGTTCATATGATTAACACTTTTTGTGTTACTTTTGTGTTGTGTTGTGTACGCGCATGCTTTCTCATTACTACTTTCATTATTTAATCCTATTCGTTCATCTACTCCAGAAAGTAACCAAATCATTGAATACATTTGAACTTTCCTCTTCTTTAGTATTTCCTACAAATTCAATAGCCGGGAATTAAGACGAAACAACCAAACAACCTTAACATCTCTTTTTCTAGCCGCTACCTCGTCTGTCTCTTTGTTCAATTCTACGTCACTGTAACTCTTTTCTTTCCGTTTTTTTAATCAAACTGTCTTTGTTCATACTGTTTTACCGCAAATACTTATACTCTCTTTTGTCCCTCTTTACTTGACTAAAATCCAACCACCACCAAATACTATATCAATCACTTCAACTTTTTGCAACTTTCACTTTTTCCCCCATAAATTCCGTGTCGTTTCATACAAACGTCGCTTTCTTCTCCACCCTTTACATATACCTACACAACCATTGTGAAAAATATTAAGAAAATGGTGGTTGTGGAAGGTGAAAACGAATACAACAAAGAGCATGAAGAACTGATTCCAGGTTTACCAGATGAAATAGCAGAGATTTGTCTTCTTCGTGTTCCTTACCCGTATCTGCCTCTAGTACGCTGTGTTTCTTCTTCGTGGAATAGAGCGATATCGAATCCATCTTTTCTACTCTCCAAGAAGAACCATTCGAATTATCCACACCTCTTTGTGTTAGGTTTTCATACACTAACCTCGAAACTCCAATGGCAATCGCTGGATCTTTTTTCTAACCGTTGGTTTATACTTCCTCAGATGCCTCTCCCTAACGACACCGTTTGCTCAACCTCCTTCGCCTCCGCCTCGTTGCCGAGTCAGGGAAAGATATTCGTCATGAGAGGAACTTCAACAGTCGTTTACCGTACAGCGGTTAACCAATGGTCGACGGCGTCAAAGATGATATCGGAGAAATCTTACTTCGCGGCGGAGGAATTGAACGGGAAAATCGTGACCGTTGGTGGGAGTGGAACTGAAATCTACGATCCCGAGAGTGACACGTGGAGGAGAGGCGCGAAGTTTCCGGGGGAGTTGGAGAGATACGAAACGGTGGTTAACGGAGGGAAGATGTACGTAACGGAAGGTTGGTGGTGGCCGTTTGCGGTTAGGCCGAGAGGTTGGGTTTACGAATTGGAGAATGACACGTGGCGTGAGATGAGAGAGGGAATGAAAGACGGTTGGGCAGGAGAGAGTGTTTCGGTGTGTGGGAGGTTGTTTATGATACCTGACGTTGATTTACCGATGAAGGTTTACGATGATGAAACCGACACGTGGCGGTGTGTGAGTGGTGAGAGGTTACCGAGAGACAAAGTTAAGAAACCGTTTGTTGCGAGAGGATTAGGTGATAGAATCTACGTGGCGTCGCTTGGTTTGAAAGTGGTGGTTGGTACGGTTGTTGTTGATGATAACTATGGTGTGAAGGTGACGTGGCAGGTAGTGGATGCACCGGAGGCTTTTGGGGAATTCTCACCTTGTAGTTGCCAGGTGGTGTATGCTTGAATAATTACAAAAGTAACTGTTTTGCAATGGTGGCCAGGGTGGACATGTTTTTTTTGAGGGTTTTAATATTAAACACTCTTTTAGTACTACCAACATGTCTTGCTAATGGTTCTGTTTGGTTTTAGATTGGGGTGTTTTTTTTTAATTTTTGTGTTGGTTTTGTCAAGGATGAAGTGAATTGGGACTTGTTAGATGGAAACTGAATCTGATTTGTGGGTTGGCTTTGTCTGATAGTACAATGCAAAATTGCAAATAGTACAATAGAGGGGTGCAGCAGGATGAAGACATACGAGTATACGATGAATCTATGTTTAGGTGAATAATCTCTCTAAACATACACTGATGTCTTGTTTTTTTTTTACAATGATATCTATGTTTTTGTGCATGTAAATTATAATAATACAAAAGACATTTTATTTGCCATCAATTGTAGTGCTAATTTTTCTACAGGTTTGAGGCCTTGTTAAATTATTTCATTAAAAAATATCAATAAACGACTTTGTATATAACAAATATGGTACTTGATGCACTAAACAAAATCAGATTTTAAAATATTTGTAGTATTGTTTAAATGCTTATAAGTACTGTTTTTAATGAGGAAAATTATAGGCATTAGACTAGAAATAAATAAAGAATCTATATGTTTTTAAAAGCTTAATATTGTAAACTTTTGTAGAAATAACTGATAGTTTACTATTGAAAAATACGACGAAGAGAAAAAAAATAGAATAACTACTTCTAGATAGTCAGTTAGAATGGTGGTTAAAAGAGGTTAGGGAAGTTAGTTAAAATATCTAATTTTTGGCTTTGTAACTAACTTGTAACTTTGTATAGTCTTGTATTTATATAGCTTACTACCATCCATATACAAGGCAATGCACTAACTCTAATGAACATAATAATATTTTGTGATATCTCTATATGTTTCATAGGTCATTCAATATGATATCATAACCTATATATCATAACCTATTAATTATTATATGAGTTTGTCTATCGTTTTTTTTGCGCACCAAGTTTAAAAGAGTATTGATGTGAGAAGTGAAGATGTAAAAAGTACACAAGAAGGGAAGGGGATGTTGAATTGTGTTTCACATTTTTTTAAAATTTAACTTATGATCAGAGTTTCAGAATCAGAACTGATTTTCAGATTCTGATTTAATTCATTAGCAGTAGATATAACAGAAGTAAATAAAATAACAGCAGAAGACACAAGATTTATTTTGGTTTCTGTTAAATATTAACAAGTGTGAGTAGTGTGGATAATAGTCTCACATTGGATAGAAATGTGGTGACTTGAGCATTTATAAGTGAGAGAACCCATACACCTATCACCTTAAGGTTTTGGGTGAGTATGTGGTGTGTCTCTCATAAAGGTTGCTCTAGAAAGAAAAAGTCTCACTATGTTCAATGCTCCCTAGTTGAAAGTCCAACAGTGGTATCATGAGCCTTTGGTTCGAATAAAGGGAACGACTTACTTGTATCGAAAGTATCCCCATAGGTCGTGGGTTGCGGTACAAGGGTGCAACTACTTGTATCGAAAGTATCCCCATAGGTCGTGGGTTGCGGTACACGGGTGCAGTTGCACAGTTAAAGTTTCCGCTTAAGGGAGAGCATTGTGGATAGACTCACACTTGAGGGATCAATCGCTTATTCTTCTGCATAAGTCTTTTACTCTTACTCAAACCAACTGTCTGAGACTTCCATTGTTTAAAGCACATGTCTAAGACTTTCCTTCCCGCACACCTTCTGACTGAACCATCTGCTTCAAAGGTCTTCTAGTTGAGACTTTCCCTTACTTAGAGCATGTGTCTAAGACTTCTTGCACAGTTAAAGTTTCCGCTTAAGGGAGAGCATTGTGGATAGACTCACACTTGAGGGAGAGTGTTAAATATTAACAAGTGTGAGTAGTGTGGATAATAGTCCCATATTGGATAGAAATGTGGTGACTTGAGCATTTATAAGTGAGAGAATCGATACACCTATCACCTTAAGGTTTTGGGTGAGTATGTGGTGTGTCTCTCATAAAGGTTGCTCTAGAAAGAAAAAGTCTCACTATGTTCAATGCTCCCTAGTTGAAAGTCCAACAGTTTCTGCCTTGACTAAGAGTAGTCTAATCTCCTTACCTCACAAGAAATTTTCATTATGATCACTTATTGATTACAATCGCTTATTCTTCTGCATAAGTCTTTTACTCTTACTCAAACCAACTGTCTGAGACTTCCATTGTTTAGAGCACATGTCTAAGACTTTCCTTCCCGCACACCTTCTAACTGAACCATCTGCTCCAAAGGTCTTCTAGTTGAGACTTTCCCTTACTTAGAGCATGTGTCTAAGACTTCTTGCTCACATCCTCTAGTCGAGCCACCTGCTCTTCTGGCCATCCAGATTGAGATTTTCCTTTCTCAAGCTGCACCCGAGACTTCTTGCTCACGCCCCTCATACGGAGACTTCCTCTTACTCAATCAGACTAGCTGAATAAGACTTTCACAGCTCAAACACTTAAACAATGAGACTTATGTGGCTTAAGCATCTTAACTCAAGACTTGTTGCTTGAATTCCAATGAGACAAGACTTCTGCTCAAGCACATAGCAAAAGACTTTGATTTAAACTACTGATGGCTCAGCAGAATAGAGAACAATGTGTACATGATACAAGTATTGGAGGTATGGGAAATCACTATAACAAAGACCTAAAGTTCTTAAGATTTCTAAGATATTTAATGGTAATAAATCTTAAGGCTTTTATAATTACAACCTACAACAGAAAATCTGCATATTACAATAAAGTTGATAATTGCTTAATCTTGTTACTCCTTCATCTGAAGAATCCTTGTTAAGATTTAAACTTGAATCTTCAGCCATATTTATAGCCTTTGCATAAACTAGCCGTTGAGGAGGTAATTTGATCAAGTGACTTTGCCTTTTCCCCATAGTACAAGAGACGTTGAAGATGGATGCACAGCAGATTATAAATCCTGTGTGTAACACGTTTAACCTTTGAGTCTTCAAGAGGTTCTGTACTGATATAGCCATTGAGAGCAAATATTTGTAGAGTATGTCAACCTTTCTTGAGTCTTGCAATATTGTAGACTCTAGCTGACAAGCTGATAAGACAACACAACTTACTTTCTGCAGTACAGACAATCCACAGCCTTATCACCAACTCCGAATGGTACCAGATGCTGATATACAATTACCAAGTGTAGTAACTCGTATAAATGTTGAGTCCTTCAGCTTAGAGTCTTCGCCAAACCACACTAGCAATTGTTCTTCAAACTCTGCCACCAGAAGGTAGCAATGAAGCAACTCTCAAGTGTGTTCATGTAACACAAATTCTGATTATTTATGTACAATGACAAGAACCTGCATAAATAAAACACACATCAAATAAACCATTGTTCTTTCAATACTTTGTTATCATCAAAACCAAAAGAGAATATGTCATGAACAAATCTTGTTCTAACAATCTCCCCCTTTTTGATGATGACAAACACAAGTATTTAAAGGAAAATGTTGGGTATTTAATTTTCTCTGCAACAATAGAGTATGAGGTTTGTAAGCTCCCCCTGAGTCTGATAGTCCACAGGTGACTTCTACTGACTCTAACACCAAAAACTATTTTTCAAGAAAAAATAAATTAGTCTTAGTAACACCAGGGTCTTAGGTTTGCAAGCCCCCTAAGTCAAATAGTTCCAAGGTTGAGGTTTGTAAGCCCCCCTTAGTTCCATATTTAAGAAAACCAAAATAACAACATTTTAACTTCCTTTGGCAACATCAGAATAAGAGGTTTGTAAGCTCCTTCTGAGTCTAAATAGGCTAAGTCAGAGGGTTGTAAGCTTTAACTTAACACTATGTACAGAGAGTTAAAATATGGTTCCCTTATAACTTTCTTTGTCAACACTAGAATACGAGGTTTGCAAGCTCCTTCTGAATCTGATAGGCTAAGTCTCAGGTTTCTAAGTTTTTCGATAGACCTATGTACAAGAAAGTTAAAATACGCCCTGAGCAAGGTAACCATAAAAACAGAAAATAAATGACCAATATGTACAACTGAATAGGTACTCAATGGGATCAATTCCCACTTAAATACTTACTATTATTTCTCCCCCCTTTTGTCGCATCAAAAAGAATAAAAAGAAAAGAAAAGAAGAAGAAAAAATATCACTCATAAATGTATCTCAAATCATCATTACAGGATCAGTTTTCAAGGAGGAAAAGTAATCAAGTAATAAGAATCATTAAGGTTTGTATAGTGCATGCTTTAAAGTCTTAGTGGTCGTTACTATTCCAAGAATTAAACAATGACTAATTTTAGACTCTTGGTATCCATAGAAGCCATTATAAAAGCACCCAGTTTCTAAGTCATTTTCATCAATTCTCTTCCTAGAGATATGTAGTCATCAACTGAGAGTCATAACACATCCATCATAAAAGATGTTACATAGGGATCTATGAGTTTAGAAGTCCAATCCCCTCAGAGGCGAGCTGCTTCTGAATCTTCTACAACTAAGCCTTTGCCCTCAGCAATACTTACTTCTGAAGAGGCAACTTCATCAATACCTGAACGACCTTCAGAAGGAGGTTCTACATTAGCTTCTTTGAAGCCAAAGAGAAAAAACATGAAGAGGTCAAAGAAGAAAATAATGGTCCACAATTGGTTCTAACACTCACTCCCAGTCATAGAAGAGGAAGAAGAGATTGATTCTGAAGACGAAGAAGTGGACTATGGAAACAGTAGACGTCGTTGGGCATGAGATGCTCTAGCTAGGGATCTCTACTAAAAACATTTTGTTCCCTTTTTTATTTAAAATATTTTTGTAATCCACCATTTTAATATCAATGAAATAGTTTATTTTGATCAATATTTTTTTCAGCATGCAAGTACATTTCAGTAATGTTTTTTTAGATTTTCTGAAAGTACATTAACAAAGTGAGACTCACACAAAAACAACAGTTAAAACTAATGAACCATTAACTCAAGTTGTTTAGAGAATCTT